ACAATGTGGAATACAGGGTGCTGTTTGACACATTATTATTGTGTTTCTTGTCTTTGCACCTTGTACTGAGATGGAATTGTATGACTGGGCTTCTCATCAATTCTGTTTGGTGTAGAAATCTTGGCAGCTCCAATAAATACACTTGCATAAATGTAAGTGAATACACACAGGCTCTCTTAGTATGAATTCTCACACCTTGGTCTGTTATATAGCAGGTGTGAGCTGTGCAGTGTTCAACACAGATGGTGGGCATCACCCAGCTGTGCCATGCATGTGTGTGTGTGTGTGTGTGTGTGTGTGTGTGCGCAGAAACATGCACACGTGTATAGACATGGCAGGCTCTCCATTGTTGTCCTTGTCTGAAGAGCTCTACCCTGGCATGGCTTCTGCTCATAAGGAGTCTGTGTTCTCCTAAAGCACAAATATTAATGATCTCCTTGCTGAAGGACCTTTTTATTATAAAAACCTATTTGTATTTATAGTGATCCTCAGAACAATGAGGAGAGGAACCCTTTGTTCCTTTCCATGTCTTGGAATCTGACTGTGCCTTAGGCAGAACCGCACACATACAAGGGATTGGCATCCTCACTTGCCATAGAATTTTGAAGAGACTTTGGAAGTCCTCTACCACTTTGGAATTGGTATTCAAGTTCCCAGAAAAACAAAGAAATAAACAAACAAAGCAGTGATTCTTCTTCTCAAATAAAATCTTAATGCAGAAACCAGCATTATAAAGCCAATAAAAGTCTTCCAGATTAGTCAGAGATGGCTACTTCTTTTTCTTGTATAGTCTCTGTCCTCACCCCATCATATCGGTTCCCTGGACTCTTTTGAACTGTGTTAGGATCCTTGGACAACTTAGCATGTGGGTACAGATGGTGCTGCTCTGGTTCAAGTTGGCAGGGGGCGGTCAGTGAGCAAAGCCCCCCCTAACCTGTAACTGCTCCCAGAGCAGCACTGTGGAAGTCCAGGGCTCTCTGCAGCACTGCATTTTTTTTTTTTTTAATGCTTAGCTAGTTCTTTTACAGACGAGGAGACAGACCCAGAGAAGTAAAGTGATTTGCCCAAAGACATACAGCCAGTGGTACCAGAATCAAGATTATTACCATCAAAAGATAATTGAGTCTCTGTCCTATATAATGAAAGGTAGGATACATGTACATGAAAAGATAAAGGGAAAACTAAAATTAACACTGTACTCATCAGTGTCTATTAGTTCCATAAGTGTTTAGAAGACATCGTGGTTCCTGGAATCTAAGGCTCTCTCCACTGAATTTTTCTAAATATTTGAGACATGGGTGTTGCCATGGGCACCAGCTGCCTGCAGTAGTGCTGAGAAATGAGCAGGGAGAGAGGAAAGGAAGGGAGAAGAAGATGAAAATGGAAAGGCAGCAGTAAGGGGAAAGAGCCCTGGATAGGAAGGAAGGAAGACAGGAGTGTCTGAAAGGCTGAAGTCATCACACCTGCCCCAGGCAGGTAGGGCTTCACCCTTGATTTGGGAAGGGGGTCCTCCAGGAGTCCTGGGACTCCATTCCGGCTTATTCCCATTCCAGCCTTGACGTCCTCTCATCGGCAGGTTTGCATGCCTCCTTGACCCTTTGCAGGGTCAACACAGAACAGTAGGAACAGAAACTTCCCAGGTTGGCTTCCAAAGTTCCTGAGTTCCCAAAATCACAGATCAAAAGGGGCAGTTCACAGGCTGAGTGTTGTGCATTCTCAGAGAGCTCTACGGTCCCTCAGGATTCGGGGGAGCACGGAGCTCTGGCCTCAGAACTCAGGCAGGAGGAGGGCTATGAATAAATGTGTATTCACAGGACCAGAGGCACCAGGACATCAGCACAGCAAGAGAAAGTTCTTGGACAGACTTTTGCATTTCTCCACTCCATTCATTTTTGCCGTTTTTTTGCCCTTAGGTGTTTCTGTGGCAACACAACATAGGTTTTAAAAGGATCAACCAAGCTGTTTCATTTGTTTACATTGTTTGTTTCTTTCTTGGGTTTGGGCGGGGAGGGTGGGATTAACTTCAAGGGCACTCAATCCCTAAAGTCAGAATGAATACAATAGAGCCATCAGCATGCGCACGTGCTCAGAGGCAACAGGCACCTACCCCTTCTCAGGATTCTTTGTCCCGACCACTTCTTACTGGCCACCTGGACCCTTTCCAATTCTATCTCAGATCCTTAAACAACTTAGTATGAGGACTGACCCAGTTGTGTCTCGGGGGATAAGCGGGGACCAGGGAGAAACCTTCCCCTGGCACCCAGGAAAGCGAGATGAGATGAATGGACCTTTTGACCAAGGGTCAGGGAATCTGCTTTCCCATCTTCTGCACATACCTCCCTGGCCTTGGTATCTTACCAGCATTCTGGATTTTCAAGTAAGGAGGTTAATTAAATACCCTCTAAGATTCTTTCTATCTCTCCAACTCAATGGGTTTAAGCAGGATAACTTCTGCCAAGGCAGTATGTTCCCATAATGTGAAAGTGCTTTCCAAGGGATGAGACTGGTCCTCACTGAGAGGGATTCCAGCCTCATCTCTCCTCTCTTTAGTTGGCACGCTCTCCCTGGGCAACCTCATTCAGCCCTCCCTGCAAGCTGAACTCCCCCTGACCTCCTATGTCTGATCACCAGTAACCCCACAAATGTCCCACAAATCCTTTAACTCAGCAAGTCCAGAACTGATGGCTCTCCCCTCAAGTCCCCCACTGCAGTGAGAGGCATCGCCATCCAGAGTCGCCCAAGTTAGAAAACTCGGGGGCGGGGGGAGCACTTCTGCTGTGTCTTCCCCCAACCCCTACATGCAGCCAGAAAGCAAATTACCTTCTTTCTATCTCTAAAACCCACCTAGTTCTCGCCAATCCCGTTGTCTATCTTGGCTCAAGCCTTCATGGTCTCTGCATGGGTCACCCCCCAACTCCCTCCACCCCCATTGCCACCCTCACTCTCTAGACTGGTGCCAGATTATAGCACACGTCTGACTCCAACATTCACTATCTCCTCAGGATAGAATCCAAGCACCCAGGGGCAGCTCCAAAGCCCCTGGTCATTTTGCGCCTACCCACCTCTCCAGCCCCATAACCTTCACTCCAGCTGATCAGATGCCTGCATTACCTGAAGCTCTCCACACACACACAACTTCCACAAGCTCCCTCAGGTTGCACATGCTTTCCCTTTCAACTCCGTCCTGATGGGGTTTAACCCATCATCAACCGAATCAACCCACTTTAACCCAACATCACCTAATTTTAAAAGACCAGAGGCTCCCACATACTGTTATTTGTTCCTGGGTCATGCTCCCCCACCCCACCTCTGTAATAGGTAGTGAGTAAAAGACAATCCTGCCTCTGAGGTGCGGATTAAGGCCGGCTTCTCCATTCCCTTCCCACAGCTACTGCCTGATCAGGGCCTTCACCGGCACATGGGCTAGTGGTTCTTAAACTTCAGGGTGCCTCAGAAACACCTGGAATCGTCTGCAATGCACATTCCCAGGCTCCAGAGCCAGGAAATCCGCCTCAGTAGGTCTGGGTAGGGCCCAGAATTCTGTATTTTTAAACTTTGCCTCCTCAGACTGCTTCACCCTGAGCTGGGCACAGTGAGGCCAGCACTCATGCCAAGTCTAGCAAATCCGAAAGAATGGATGGGAGCACAGGTAGATGAGTGGGCTAGCCTCCCCCCACAGAGCTACCCGTCAAAGTCCAATGTCCCTGGTCTTGGAGCACCTTCCCAGCAGGCGAGACAAGAGCGGGTATGCCTTCCCAGGTGATGCCTTCCCAGGTGAGCTCCATCTGACCCAAGAGCGAGTATGCCTTCCCAGGTGATGCCTTCCCAGGTGAGCTCCATCTGACCCAACACAGGATGGGAAGATAGGTCCGGGAGTTCTGAGCCTACTGCTTCCTGGGGGCTGTGACTGGGCCTGTCCTGCTTGAAGGATCTGTGGCCGAATGCCATGTGGACCAGTGTTTTGTGGCTCCAGTGAGAGATGGGCTGAGGCTCCTGCAGAGGCGAGCAGTGGAGCATGAAGGCATCCAGGCAGCCTTCGCCTGGTGGGGGCCATTAAGGCTCTGCACTGGGAACAAGGTTGTGGGAGAAAGCAATTAGTGGTGAGGGAAGCCAGTGAATCAGCACACAGAGTCGGCTCGCTCTAATTGAGCCTACAAGTTTGTCCTGTTAAGTGTGGGCTCCCAGGGATAGGAGCGTCATCCTTAAATGCAAAGCCTTCTTCAAGGTGGCAGAGGGAGGAAAAACACTACCTCCCACCTTTTGAGAAAAGAGATGAGCCTTTTCTCTTCACTGCCCCACCCCAGTGCCTGCCTCCATCCTGGAAATGCTGATTCTCAGCTGAGGGGGTCTGTCTTTGGACAAAGATTTTTATTTTCTCAAGAAAGAGAGAGACTTCTAGTTCAGGGGCAGGGTATATGAGCAGATTGCCTATGTTTCAGCTGTTGTTAGGAGCTTTTCAATGTCTCAACTTCTTTGCAGCTATGTTCCTCGTCTATCAGTTTGGAGAACGTGCTTAGTACACTCCCCCGAGATGGGTTCTTTATCTTCAGGGTTTGTTACCTCAAGGTGGCGGTACACTTTTCCTGTGGTTCTGTCCCCTCCTTTCTGAGCACTGTTCTCCTCTGTCTTGGCATCATTTCCCTCTAGCTCAAGACATCATGAGTTCTCTTCTGAGAAGGTACAATGAAACATTCACTAATTAACTAAATAAGACGTTTTTCCAAAATGTGTAATTTTTCTACCACCCTAATATTTGCATTTTAATGGGACATTTGAAGACTAAAAAAACGCTTAGTGCCCAATGAATTGGAGGTCTAAGGTTGTAACAGACTGGGGAATTGGTAATCTGGCTAGGAGGTCCTACCCAGGTCCTCCTAGATCCTACCACAGAGTGGGCAGCACTCTCCTCCACCTGCTTGTGAGATCTGCTGGTTCAGAACTTTCCAGATCCCTGATCTCATTGACTTTATTTTTCTCTCCCTTCTATTTTTGTTTCCTAGGAACGAGTGGAATATCTCTTTCTCATAATTTTTACTGTGGAAGCATTTTTAAAAGTAATAGCCTATGGACTTCTCTTTCACCCCAACGCTTACCTCCGCAATGGTTGGAATTTACTAGATTTTATAATTGTGGTTGTAGGGTAAGTATCACTACCTTTCTCTCTTCCCTCCCCTCACCCCTTACTATCCACCAACATGTGCCTCTGTTTTCTTCTGTTATTTGTATCTCTTTTTGATTTGGTCATAGAGGCACTGGGCACCAGGCAAGATGAGAGGATCCATTAAAAGTCACTTTGAATTCAGACTTTCTCCAAAGGGAAAAGAGCTCTTACTTAAGAACGTCTCCCTCATACACATGCTCACATGCGTGCATTCACAAACACACACACACACACACACACACACAACACAGAGTGGAACCAGAGGGCTTTTAATGGAACTCAGCATCCTCTATGCAGCTGAGGAGATTCCTCTCCTTGAGGTCTTTTATTCCATCTCCAACCACATCTGGCCTGACAGCTCTCTGAACCGGTTCCCCTGCTCTGTTCCTGAGCAGAGTTCGTCCAGTTGGCCTGGCAAGCAGCCCATGGGCATGGGGGTGGGGACGAAGCTGGCACATAGGTGCTATGGATGCCCACTCTCACCTCTACAGTGGGTCTCATCGGGGGCCCCAGGAAACAGGCTGCTTGAGATAAGTGGGTGAGGAGACAACAGAGAACTTTGAAGGGCCAAAGTCGTGGGTGGCCTAAGTAGAACCAAATACACCTTCCCCAAACACGCCGTTCTGCTGTAGCATGAGATAAATCAAGGTCAATATATGCTTTAAAAAAAAAAAAAAAGCAATGTAAAGAATCATAAATAAAATTCAGAAGTGATGGTCTCCTTATCTGGGAGTTAGCAACTTTACAAAAAGATCCTATACATGTGCTATGTGAAATGTAGTTCATTAAGACACAGTTGATGAAGTTTTAACTGCTCCTCTCTTTTGTGAAGGGAGGGCACCCTACAGCAGATTCTACTTGGGCTTCTTGGAGCTGATCTGTCATTTCTCTGAGCCTGGAGAGTGGTCACATGGTGGCCACCTTGCATTTTTACTCCCGTGGAGTTCTGATAGCCTTCAGTGTCAAGGTCAATATGTCACTGGGCCCATATCCCAGGAACCTATTTTTGATTGGCACCATTTGTGCCATCCCAGTGAAGACACGGGTCCTTGTGGACTCCTCCAGAGCACTCACTGCTCATCATCTCATGGGAGTGTCTGGTCTTTCCTGCAGGAAATAACAAGAGCAAATCAAGACCATTGAGAAGTTATTTCCTTGCCTCTGGCCATCTGGATGACTTATTAGGGTTGTTTGGAACTGTTTTAGGGGTTTTTCTTTGTTGTCTTTTTTTGCACAGCCAATGAAAGACACACTTTGGCCACATAAACACCAAGGATATTTGGGTGACATGAGAAGCACTAAAGTTATTGGAGTATTTGCGAGGTATAGATCTGGCTCCAGAGGACTCAGAGTGAGGATGCAGTTATAAGAGAACTTGCTGCTTCTGTTCACACCAGGATAAACAAAGAATAACTGAACAAATGCCTTGAATTAACTCCGGTAAACCATAGCAAAGGCATTTAAGGTACCTTGTTCCACATGCCCCTAAATCCTTTCAAATTCAGTGTCTTTCTCAGGGCCTCGGGCTCTGGGGAACCTTTCACATATGCCTAGAAAAGAGCCCCAGGAATGAGACTGATAGAGAGATAAGGGTGCCTTCGGGGACTAATTTTGTTTCCGCAGAGAAGCTACATCTTCTTCTCAGGATTATGGAATGAGTTAGAGTTGACTGTGTACCATGCTCTGCCCCCTCCATGGCCTCACCGGCAGCCTGGGAAGTCGAAACCAGGAGCACAGGGCAGAGCTTAAACCAGAGCTCGGGAGGGAGGGAGGGAGCAGATGCCTTGCCATGCGGCCTGTGTCTTTTGCTTGTTTGGACTTTGCTTTATCCCTCACCCTGCTGCTCCTCCCAGTAACCGCAGAGGGCAGGCTTCCTGGGGTCAGCCCAAATTTCAGTCACATCTTCCTGGGGTCTAGGCCGTGAAGCTGATGAAGAGGAAAGCATCCAGACTGGCCCTCTTCCAAAAAATGCCTCTGGTTTGGCTGTTTAAGCCACAGAGGTTTTGATGCTAGTGGTTGCTTAGCTTGTGGGCTCATATGACCCGTTGGGCTTTTCCCCCATTACTAGCACACACGGACATGTTTGACACCCAGCTTCTCTTCTCCAAGGGCATTGGTCCTAGCGGCTCTCTGTCTAGTCTCAATCTTGGCCCATCCTTCTAACTTGAAAAATCACACGCACACGCACACACACGGTGTGGCATCATGCTCTCTACCGCCATGCCTCCTTTTCCTGCCCCCCCCTTTTTTTTATCATATTAAATGGGTATCTGTCTACTTCCCTTATGTCTCCTGGGAAATATCTATTCTCCCGGGCCCCTCCTCTGTAGCCACTTAGGGGAAGGTTTCTTGGGCTCTCCTACAGTCAGAGGGGAATCTGCCTTGCCCTGGGAGAGCCGGGGTTGCCCGCCTGCTGCCTGAGTGCCGGGCCAAGAGCTGCTCTCTCACGTCTGTATTGCCACGCAAGGGCCTGTGACAAGAGGCATTGCCTAACCCCCACAGACCTGTCACATTTCCTTCCTAAAGTGGAAGGGTCTCCTTGGTACAGTGGGGAGATGAGACTGCTGAATGAAAGTGGGGAGGACTTCAGAGGCCTCTGTGAGCTACCTCTCCCCACCTCAAGCCAGGGACCTAGGGATCCTCACTAGATCCCCCTGCCTGAGACATTCTACTCCAGCTGCAAGGGCTTTTGCTACCATCTGTCTCCCAGTGTGGTGGCCCTGCCTTTCTGAACTGCTGGGCCCTCTAGAGCTTTGTTGTCCTCTTTTTAAAAGCTCCAAGTCCAGCTAAGGAACTGCCAGACACAACTCCTGAAGAATCCCCCTGCCAAGCATCCATATCTGAACCCAGCCCTTAGGGACAGATAGGCACAAAGCAGTGGTTTCAGCTTTACAGTATCTAATCAAGGAGAAACACACCAGCCCCTACAAGCCAAGAACACCTCCTAGACCCATTCCTGAATTTTCTACCTTTTCAAAATTAAAATCAGACACTTAATAAAGTGTCTGCATCAAGTTGGGGCAGAGAAAAGAGAAGAAAGTTGTCTAACCTCTGTTCCCTTCAATAAATAATATTATGTGAACATCTTGTACCCTAATAAGCATACTGCTTTCTTCCAGGAAATACTAGGAACCAAATCTGGTTTGGATTTGGAATGTTGTTTGACAAACTTACAAACTGGTCTCCATTTTCTAAGATTTCAGCGATCTAGACTTCAGTGGAAAGAACATTTCTCTGCAGAGAAAGAAGCCTGTTTCCCCCATCCTGGCAACTCTGCCTGGGGTTCAAGGCATCACCAGCTAACATAGGACACCATCAAACTGCCAAGCTGAGCTGAAAGAATCACAGGGCTGGGAAAGACTTTAGATGTGGTCTGGCCAGAGTTGTCAAACTTCTTTTAGCTACAAAACTCATTGTTCAAGCAAAGCCTTACTCAGAGAGTCACGAAATCCATTCTGTTCCCGCCACTTATCTCTGGCCTCGCTGCCCAAGAAGTCCCTAAGCAGTTCCATGGAGCACAGTTTGGAAATCCTTCATCTAGAACAACCCCATCCTTGCTGGGCCCTGCCTGGATTTGCGTTTCTGCAAAGCTAAGCCCCCAGCTGCAGCCTCCCGTGTTTCCAGATCCAGTTCCCTGGGCATGAGTCATTTCAGGAGCTCAAGCCTGTTCCTCAAGAATGAAGTTGCCCTGGCCTTGAGTGCAGGTCAGATGTGTGGCCCCAGTTCTGATATCTGGGCTTCCCCTTTGACCCTCGGCCACAGCCCAGCACACACTCTGTTGACAGTGAATTGGCAGTCATCTCTAGTAGAAAGGGCAGAAATTGCCCCCATGCGTCCTTTCCCCTATTTTTCTTGGTTACCACAAAAGCCCAAAATTCCGGGTTCCCATTCCCACGTGGTTCTTTGAATCCTGTGCCCCCTCTCCCTCGCCATCCTCCTGAAACCTTTCCACTGTGCCTTGTGTTCCCCACAAGCCACTGCCCATTCAGGGGTCAGCAGACATTTTCTGTAAAGGGCCAGATATGCATTTTCAGCTCACAAGCTGTGCGCTTTGTCCTGACTAGTCACCTCTTCCGAGAAAACAGCAATGGACAGCAGCAGTATGTGAATGAGGGGTATAGCTGAGCTCCAGCAAAACTCCATGTACAGAGCGAGTGGCCCAAGGGCTGCCCTAAACCCTCAGCTTTGTCTCTGGCCACTCACTTAACCTCCTGGCTCCCCCAAGGGTCCTGCTCCATCACAGTCTCTCAGGAGATGGCCACTCTCTCCCAAATGCCTTGTTCTGCAGCCAGGAGGTCAGGAGAGGGGCCCTGCCTTTCTCTTATTTCCGCTTTCAGACTGCTGGCCCTCCTCCCTTCCTAGCCACCTCTGGTTCTGATGTGTGTGATCAAACCCTTCCACCCCTGCTTCTCCCTATGGAGTCCCCTTCTAGGCCTCTGGCGACTCCTCATTCCTTGAAGACAGGAGCTCTTGGCTCACTCCCAACTCTCTCCAACCTCACTATTCCTGTTGTCACCTCCAGTAGCGTCTTGGTTCCTTGATATCTAAATCCGCCCAACCCCCCGCCCAGGGATCCTGACTTCATCTGTCTTAGATGCCCACTCTCATGGTGATAGCCAATATCCCTGCCGTAACTAATAACTGCACCCTCCCCCATAAACTCAAACCAAACACCCTGCTCTGGAAACACTACCAGCCATCTTTCCAGCTTACTCCTCTAGCACTTTGACCCTGACAATCCATTCATCCTGTCCCATTCTCTCCGTTCCTCTGCCCATTGTGTCCAGTCCTCCTTTTAACCAGCTTAGATGCCCAGCCCCATCACAGTCTCTCACTTGCGTGTACAGTCAACTGCCTTCTTCCTCTCTTCACTTACCTTGCTCATTTGGAAAAACACCAACCCTAATCAAATCCAACTAGATGGAAATCCATCTGGTACCAGAAGCTGTGCCACTAAAAGGGGTAGAGAAACCTGCAAAGCTGAGCTGATGGGTTTCACTTGACACTTGCGACCACCAACTTCAAATAGGTCCTTGATGATACCTGGCAACCCTATTCTATGTGCTACTCCATTCACTCCTCCACTTTCTTTGGTGAGTCTTTTATACCTTAGCCTCCCCCTTTAAACTTCCAATACCTGCTCCCCATTTACATTTTCAGCCGATGACCTTGCTACCTGTTTCCCTGAGAAAACACATGTAACCACGGGGAACATCTGTACCCCTATGATGTACCTTCCCACTTGAACCATGATAAACCACCCTTCCCCTATCTAGGGCCAATACCCCTCAGGGTGAAAGATATCCCTTTTGCCTCCTGCAGGATAGCAATCCTTCCAGTAATTGTTCTCTCTCTTCTGCATGGTCAGATTGTCTGTCTCTGTTACATGACTCCTGTCACATATAAAAATGCCGCTGGATCTCCCATTTAAAAACAAACACGACTCTCTTGACTCCACACCCTCTTCTGGCAACCATCTTTTTTCTTCTACTACCTTTTACAGCAAAATTCCTCGGAAGTGTTGTCTATACTGTAGCCACCAGCCACCAGCCATGCGGCCACTCAGTACAGAATATGTGGCTAATCAGAGGTGAAACACATTGTCCATGTAACATATAGAGCAGATTTCGAAGATTTAGCACAAAAGGAGTAACAAACATCTCATGAAAAATTCTTTGTATTTATTACAGTTGAAATGATAATATTCTCGTTATGTTGTAGTAAATAAAATACATTATCACAGTTAATTTCGCCCATTTTTACTTTTTTAACGTGGCTGCTAGAAAGTTTAAATTACATATATGCCTCATGTTTGTGGTTTGCATCATATTTCTTTTAGAGCTATCTCAGACTTTTCTTCCTATCCTCTCTTGAGCCCGTATCCATTAGGCATTTGTCCCCATCACTTCTCCAAAACAGATGTTTTCAACGTCTCAGGAGTCTGCATGTTGCTAAAGCCAGTAGTTAGTTTCCCATCCTTGTATCTGCAGCACAAAGCCAATGTCTATGGGATCTTCTATTTGTGCCCAGGCAAAATCAAAGGGGAATCATTTGGAGTAAGGAGGTGTGTGGGGACGAGAGAGGGTGTGGTTGTGGTTCCTGGCCACGGGAGGGCAGGAACCAGGAAACCATGGAGTGGAGAGAGGGCACTGCAAAGGGACAGAGACACTCCAGCAAACTTTAGCAACTTTACACTTCTGTCCAGGCCGCCCAGCTTACACAAAACCAGTTGTGTTCGTGCACGGCTTTATGACTGCAAAGGGCCTGCCCATCACCTCTCAGACCTCTCTGGGCAGTGGTGATGCCCTTGGCTGGGCAATACCCACACTGAGGGGATGTCATCTTAGGTCACGGTCCCTCCCACGCACACACCTTGCTCTGGTTCCTGGGCTAGGGATGCCTGCAAACTCTGCTCTCCCAAGCTTCCTTCAGAGAATTCAGGGTCTGACAGCTCCATCTCCCCTTCCTCTCTTCTAGGCTTTTTAGTGCAATTTTAGAACAAGCAACCAAAGCCGACGGGGCAAATGCTCTGGGAGGGAAAGGAGCTGGATTTGACGTGAAGGCACTGAGGGCATTCCGTGTGCTGCGTCCCTTGCGCCTGGTGTCTGGAGTCCCAAGTAAGTAAAGCCATTCTTCTGGTTTACAGTGGTATCTTGTCACCCACCCCCTGCTGTCCTGTGCTGAGTTGCCAGGAGCACTTTGCCAGGAAATTGATTCCATATAAACGGAGGTGTTTTTTCTTAAAAGAAATCCTTTGCTTTAAAGAACCTAACTCTGATGTGAGTCCATGAGAACACACTGTGGCCGCAGCTCCTGTAAACCCCTGGAAAGAATCCACAGCAGCCAAACAGCCAAATGAAGACAGGCTACCCCAAGAAAGAAATCCCTTGGCCATCTGAGCCCCATCCCCACTCCCTCCCCAGGCCCTGGGCTGGGGATTTAAATACATTTGCAGCAGAGGAGCCTGGTGAGCAGAAAAGGCTAATCCCTGAGGCTCAGGCTCAAGGTATTTTAGCCAATGAGATTATCTCTACTTTCTGTATTTTTCCAGAGAACAATCAGAAAAGCATCAGTGGATGTTCAAAAAGTTCTATTTGCCATTTCTCTCAACCCTCTCCTTCTTTCATGTCAAATGGGACATTTCCGGCTTCAGAAGTCCTATTTATGGACAGGCTGCCTGCATTTGTGAGAATTGGTTTTGCCAAAGGGTGGAGGGTGTTCAGCTCTCTGAATCAGGCCAGAGGGCGTTGGAGAGATATTGTCTATCCAGGTATCAGTCCGGTGGACAGCCTGTCTTCTACCTCTTCCTCCAGAAGCCTGCCCCACTAGGGATGAACCCCAGGCACTGAAAACAGCAGCTTCGGGCATCCAGCGTCACCCCCAACAAAGCACAACCCCAGTTGCTCTTGGGGATTAAGTCAACTTTCAGAGAGCTCTTCATTCCACTGCTCCTTGATCAATTGGTGCAATCTGGGCATAATTCTGGACTTGCGTGCTGAGATTTTTCCCTCTCAAGTCAGCTGCATCAGATCTGGCCCATAACTCAAGGTAGAGGTCCCTATGACTGGGCTGAAACCAGACAAGCTTGGAGATGGGAGCAGGGGACAGGAAAACAAAGAGGTCCTCTGAACACCGAGCCTTTACCATAGAAACGTGAAGAACCTTGTATTAACCTGTTCTATTCTTTCCGTACGTGCACAGATTAGTGAAAATATTCTTCCAGAGAAACCTAACTAACCAGCAGCAGCGCAGGACTAGGGACTTCCTAACCAACTTTCTCTCCTATCATACAATACAACCTCTTGTAAAGGATTAGCTAGTATAAAACTCTTGACTGTCTTAGACTTTTACAAATATATCCCATCTCTTCAATTACATTATAAGCCCCCAGAAGCCCAGAACTGTGCCTTGTATTGTCTCCGTTCCTGCACCATGCCTACAATGGTCTCTGTACAAGTTAGGGGAATTTACTAGATAAATGAAGGCAAGAGTTGGAGTGCCTTCTCTGCAGTGGGGCCCCCTGGGCAAAGTTTGTGGTCTGTCTTAAACTCAAAAGTGAACATGGAGCTAAGCCACACAAACACTTTTGGAACAGATTCTTTCTACTTGGCCTTAACCATTTAGGGCATCTAGGACTGGAAACAGTATACAGTCGACTCTTAAACAATGTGGGGATTAGGTGTGCTGACCCCCACCTTGCGCAGTTGAAAATTAACATATAACTTTTGACTCCTCCAAAACTTCACTACTAATAACCTACTGCTGACCAGAAGTCTTACCAATAACATAAACAGTTAACACATATTTTATAGGTGTTATACTATATTCTTAAAATGAAGTAAGCTAGAGAAAAGAAAATGTTATTAAGAAAATCATACAGGGGGGCGCCTGGGTGGCTCATTTGGTGAAGCGTCTGTCTTCAGCTCAGGTCATGATCCCAGGGTCCTGGGATCGAGCCCTGCATTGGGCTCCTTGTTCAGCGGGGAGCCTGTTTCTCCCTCTCCCTCTGCCCCCCCCATCTCATGCTCTCTCTCTCTCTCAAATAAATAAATAAAATCTTTTTTAAAGAAAGAAAGAGGGTGCCTGGGTGGCTCAGTTGGTTAAGCGACTGCTTTCGGCTCGGGTCATGATCCTGGAGTCCCGGGATCGAGTCCCACATCGGGCTCCCTGCTCAGCGGGGAGTCTGCTTCTCCCTCTGAACCTCTTCCCTCTCGTGCTCTCTATCTCTCATTCTCTCTCTCTCAAATAAATAAATAAAATCTTTAAAAAAGAGAGAAAGAAAGAGAAGGAAAGAAAGAAAAAGAAAGAAAGAGAAAGACAAAGGAAGGAAGGAAGAAAGAAAGAAGGAAAGAAAGAAAGAGAGAGAGAGAGAGAGGAAGGAAGGAAGGAAGGAAGGAAGGAAGGAAGGAAGGAAGGAAGGAAGAAAGAGAGAGAGAGAGAGAGAGAGAGAAAGAAAGAAAGAAAGAAAATCATACAGGGGCACCTGGGCAGCTCAGTCAGTTAAGCATCTGCCTTTAGCTCAGGTCATGATCCCAGGGTCCTGGGATGGAACCCCGAGTCAGGCTCCCTGCTCAGTGGGGAGCCTATTCCTCCCTCTCCATCTGCCCCTCCCCACCCTGCTCCTGTACTCTCTCATGCGTGCTCTCTCTCGAATAAATAAATAAATTCTTTAAAAAAAGAAAGAAAATCATATGGTGGGAAAAAATACATTTACAGTACTGTTCTGTATTTATCCAAAAAAAGTCTGCCTGTAAGTGGACCTACACCTTTCAACTCATATTGTTCAAGGTTCAACTGAATATGATGGCCAAGATCCAATTTCCCTTTTGTGAAGCCTAAATTCTTTGGGTTTTCTTGGTCAGTCAGCCATAACTCAGTAGACTAAAATCGAGGAATGAGAAGGAAGGTGAGAATAACTTTGAACATGACTTTAAGGAGCTTAATATGATGGTGCAGCCAATGTGTCAGTGATAGGAACTATGAACTATTCCAAACTTCCAACCAAACTACAGTGGGCATAATGACTCTTACCCTCTTATGTACATGCTTATTAGGAGCCCACACTTTCAGAGCATTGTTCTGGGTATGAGGACATACCATAAAAAATAAATACTTGAGGAATCTGACAATCTAATAAGAGTGTATCAGTCAGCTTTTGCTCTAGGAACAAACAATCCCAAATTCTCAGTGACTTAAAATCAGAAACATTTATACCTGGTCATGTTACATGATGATGTTGGCCAGCTGCCACTTTTCTGGGCTTAGCTAGAGCCCAGGTTGAAGAAGCATCCAGTAGGCTATGTTGTTGTCATGGCAGAGGGCAGATGCTCAAAAAGGGGGCAAAGAGCTAAGCCACACAAGCATATTTCAGGCTTTTGCTCAAAATGGCTTATATCATGGCTACTCACTTTCCAGAGGCCAAAGCAAGTCACATTGCTATTTTTGTCCCAAGGATAATGGGACACAGAATTATACTGTACCTACAGAGAAGCAAGGGTGAATAATTGTGAACAAACAGTACAGTCTAAAACAAAGAGATTGAGGAGTTTATTAGCAGAAATAGTTACAGTAATTACTCTAGTACAGAAATTCTTAATTAGAGGTGCATATGGTTGAGAGTCACTCATGCTTCAGTGCATTAAAAAGGAGAATCAGATTACATACAGTAGCTAGGGTTCCACTGTAAAAACTTCCTAAAAAAGGTGTCCCATCTCCACATGCATTTAATTTATGGTAGAACTGTAGAGTGGGGTCAGGAAGAGGTAACATACCTTGGAATTCTCTCATCAAGAAGATGGTACAGTACCTCAAGGATAAGGCCCTAATAGTACCTGCCATGCAGTCCAAGAAGATAGCTTTGTCATTAAAGATGATCACACTGAGATGGTTTTGCAGTTGTGGGCAGCCTTGCAGGTGGCTTCATGCTTACGCATAGGGCTAACAACTGTGTCTTGTGTTCCATGGGTTGCCAACAGAGTAGCTCTTTTTGGAGCTTAAAGGAAGGGCTAATCCAGCCCATCACCCTTTCTCCTGGAGAAGTGTCTGTGTGACTTTTAAATAGTAAAGTATGTAGATCGTGGTGAACAAGTACCCTGGGCTAGTTTGGTTGATATCATCCAGGAAGATGTCAGCAATATCTCCTACCACTATAAACCTAGACAAATTCCATTTCGTAGAACTTTTAGGTGTCTTCTTTCATATTTCAGCAGAACTCCTCGAAAGAGTTGCCGCTATCTGTTGTCTTCAATTCTTGTCTTCTCGTTCTTTCTTAAAATCCACACCAGTCAGGCTCTCTCCCCCATTACTGCAGTAAAACATCTCTTGTCAAGACCACCAGTGATTTCCCCATTACCGAATCCAGTGGTTAGTTCCCTGGTGCCGTTGTATTTGATCTAGCTGCAGCATTGGATGCAGCTGATCATCCCTTGTCTTTGAATCACTGTCATCACTTGGCTATCAGGACACGGTTCTTTCTTAATTTGTTTGCTTTTCCTTATCAGAATCACTTGCTGATTTCCCCTCACGTTCTCATCCTCTTAACATTGGAGAGCTGCAGTCTCGATCCTTAGACCTCTTCTATATCTCAGGGATACTCTGTTCCTGAGTATCTGGCATTAAATATCCTGAGCCTTCTGGCATTAAATCTTGCTTAAATGTCTTCTAATAACTACAAACTGTATGTTACCAGCCCAGACCTCTGTTCTAAACTCCAGACTTGTATACCTACCTGCCTATTCCATTCCTTTAATTTGATGTCTCAGCATCTCGAACTTACCACATCCGTAACAGAACTTCCAATCTTCCCAAAGTCTTTCCTGCTGTCTTGGTCAATGTCAACCTCATCCTTCCAGTTACGCAGGCCAAAAATCTTGGACTTACCACTTTCTCTCACCCTTTGTAGGCAGTCCTCCAGGAAATCCTATCAGCCATACCTTCAAGAAACTCCCTGTTTCTTACCACCTCCAACACCTCTCGCCTGGATCATTACAGTAGCTTCCTAACTGGATTCTCTGTTTCCACACTTGCCCTTTGCCACAGCTTAGTCTCAGCACCATAGCCAACATGGTCCTTTTGAAATACAAATCCTTGTAAAATACACATCACAGCTGTGGTCAAA